AGCCCCCAGGCGGCGGGAAAGTGGGGGCCTGGGGGGAAAGCAGGTCTCCGATGAAGAACCGCTCTGGGTCTCTCCATGGCACCCTGTGCAGGGGGAGCAGTGGTCGTGGCGGGATCAGACACCGAGACAGGAGCCAGCTCAGGGGCAGAGCGGACAGGCCGCCGTGCACGCTGGGGATCCGCCTGGCAGCGTGACTGCCCATCCAGAGCCTCAGAGGGTGACGTCATTGGCATGCAGTGTCTTTGCCATGTCATTAGCTTGAGGATCTTGACGTGACATCGCACTAGCTTCCAGACCGCTGCCAAGCCCAGTGACTGGTGGCCTCCTGAGAAGGGGAGATGCCACCCAGGGCGGGAGGCCCCGTGACGACGGAGGCAAGGACCTGAACGGTGCCACGGCTCCAGGGGCTGGGAGAGGTGGACGGGGCCTCGCTGGCGCCTTCAGGGTGAGGCCCTGCCCACGCCTGATGTCAGCCTTCTGCCTCCAGACCGCAGGAGCCCATTGCTATGGCCTCGGCCAGCCTGCTGGCGGCCCTTGGTTGGAGCTGCCCCAAGACACCCCCCAGCGGCCCCAAAAGCATGAGCCTCCCAGGAAGTAACGGATGAGTTTGGCTGTGTGATGTTCCAGAGCTCCGCTCGGTGAAGGACGCAGTGAAAGGAGGGTGTTAGGCAGGACAAGGTCATCCCAGGCTTAAACCAGCAAGGGGCTGGAAACTGGTTGGGTGCCTTGCAAATTCCAGGAAATCGGCAAGAAACCTTTAGAAAGCACAGTAAGGCCCGAAAGCTCCAGAGCCTCGAAGAGATGCTCGCGCTCACAGGGAGGGGGAGCCTGTGTGCGGGAGGAGGGGACGCCGCTCGGCTCCTCCAAAAGCAGCTGGGCAGGCTGGACTCGGGGTGGGGGGGTGGGCGGCCCCAGGGAGGAAGGCTTCAGGGGTGCCAGGCAGCACGGGGGGGCGAAGCCTAGAGGCAGATGGGGCATGCCACGGCCTGCTCAGGGGGCCACCCCCACAGATGAGCAGAGGCAGGCTCACCGTCCAGGAGAACTCAGGGGCCTTCCCCCGCAGTGGCTAGCAGGAGGCTGAGATGAGTTTCTGGGGTGACTCACAGGGCTAGCCACTGCCAACCACAGTCAGTGTCCGGCCAGGAGAGGTGTAGAAACATCTGCAGCCTGGCCCTTGCACCAAGCAACCCCTTGCAGAGGCAGCATTGGTCCCAGGTCACCCTACAGGCCCTGAGCTTGGGGCCCAGCCTCAGAGGGGGCTTCACACTGCCCCGGCTCCAAGCCCACCCACGTCATACAGTCTAGCCAAGCCCCAGCTAACCCCCAGCCAGTCCCCAAGCCCCCAGCTCCTATAGAGCTTCCCACCTGTGGAGTCCCACCCTGGGGTCTCCTGAGCCGGGGTACCCGTGCCCTGCCCTGGCTCCTGGCTCCAGGCTCCCCACCACCTCCACACAATACCGCCCCGTGGCCAGTCCTTGCCCCCGTGGCCCCCAGCCCTCCTGGGGCACACCCTGACAGCAGGCCCCATCGAGTGCCGGGGTGGGAGGACCCCCTGCTCCCGAAGCACGCCCACATGCACACACCTGTACACCACACGGAGAATCTGCTGCCCTGCGTCCCTGCCGTGGGATAGCGCTGTGGGGACAGTGGACCTGGCCAGGCCACGCAGGGGAGCCGCGGCAGGACACGCCAGACAGGGCGGCCTGCAGGGCTGGGGCACTGTACCTGATGGGGAGTCCGCTCCTGGACAGAAGGAGGAGGGGCCAGGGCACTGGGGGGCACCCCGCAACTAGAGGGGCTGGGAGAGGATGACCTGGAGTTCGGGGCAGAGCCACAGCCCCAGGGAGAAACCGGGAGGGGACACACACACGTGTGCTCAGAGCTGAGCCCACCTGCTGGGGCTGGGAGAGACACAACAAGCCACTCTCCTCCAAGACCGAGAAAGCCCACGGCCAGGCAGGGATGGAGACAGGACAGGGCCCACGCCCTGACAGCCCCGTTCGCCCTCCCGCCCCGGCGCCAGCAACCAGACACATCCAGGACGTCCGGGCTCAGCTGGGGTCAGACAGGGCACTGCCGCCTGCCCCAAGCACCCACGGCCTGGGAGGATGAGCAGCGGGAGCCGGGTGGGCGGATCCAGGGTGGCCACGTGCAGCCCCAGCCCACACCCTCGAGCTCGTGCAGGCCGCGTGCACACGGGCGTGTGTGTGCCTGGGCCCGGGGGTGGCAGGAGGCTCCCCGGTGGGGCTCTGCCAGCCTGTGTCTTCTCTCAGCATCATGGGTCCTACCAGGTACTCAGCATTCCCCCCACTCCACCTCCCATAGGGCGTCTGTCCACAAGGCAATGTCGGGCAGGACACACCTGTTCTGTGCTGGGGGAGGAGGGGGAGGTTGGGCCCTGGCTCCCCCAGGCCTCACCTCGGGCCCCCCCAGGGCCCTGGCTCTGTGCACTGGGTCAGCCCGCGCCACCACGCTCCCCTTCTGGGGCCTTCCAAAGGAGCCGGCTTCCCCCAAGGATGCCAGCCTGACAGCCTATGGCCACGGCCTCCCTGCAGGGATCCCCCAGTCCTGGTCCAGGTTACAGGGTCCTGCCACCTCCCTCTCCAAAGGCTTCACCCGCCCTCCCAGGAGCCCACACTGATGAGCTGGGCTGGTTCCCGTGGCTGCCCTGTGTGGGCTCAGCCTTCAGAGGTTTAGGGACCACAGGCCTGCAGGACACAGCCCCGGCTCCAGGCCAGGCCTGGACCCTCCCGTGGCTCCACACTCATCGAGGGGCACCCACACTGGCCTGGCCACCCAGCAGGCCACAGTCAGAAGCCGTGGTGCCTCCAGAAGGCTTCTCTGAGGCCCCACACTCGGGGTGAGCACCGCAGCACAGACAGGGCAGCTGCACCGGGTGCCAGTGTCTGCAGGGATCTCTCAGAGCCACAGGCCAACCTCACAGCCACAGGCAGCCTCCCCAAGGTCCCTGCCAGCCCTCACTGGCCACACCACTGCAGGACAGCCACCTGGGAGCGAGCGCACGGGTATGGGGGAGCCACGCATCGGCAGGGCACACGGGAGAGCCTGTGTGCACCGGGGCTGCCTGTGCAGCTGGGCCCATGTCCCCAGACACTGACCCCCAGAGACCCCCTGGGCGCGTTCCTCCAGCAGTGACACAGGAACAAGGCAGCGTGCCATCAGGAGGCCCTGCATTCACATCTCGGGCACCCAGCCACCCAGGGCTCCCCTGCTCACACACAGAGCGGCCACCACCTTGTCCTCACAGGGCGGCCTGGGGAGCAGAGGAGGCTGGGCCTGCTGCCCTCCGCCTCTCGGGGAGTCAAATGCCCACAAGCGTGGGCCCGTGGCACCGAGGGAGGGGGCCACGCACTGGGCACAGAGGCCGGGGACAAGGCCCCCCAGGAGAGCACCTCGGCCACAGCCCAGGCGCCTCACCTGAGACCCCGCCACCACCCTCGGCTTCCCAGGAACACAGAGAAAAGGGGACTTCCAGGGCCCCCTCGGCCCCCGGGGGTTCCCGCCCTGTTTTCAGCCGAGAGCACTGAGGCAGAGCCCCCCTCCCCCAGGCCACTGTCTGCTCGTGAGGCGACAGCATCAGCACTGCCCATCCACCTCAGCTGGGAGCCCGCGCAGGGAGCTGGGACGGTGCCCCCCGGGGGTCAGGCTACTGGACGGAGGGCCGGCACCTCAGGTACCCCTGCCCTGCCCAGGACAGATGCCTGGATACCTGGCTGTGGACAGCCTTTGGCTGCTGCTCAGCCCTCACTGTCCCCTCCCTGTTTGGGGACACAGGGACACAGGAGGCTGCCCGAAGCCCTCCTGAGGAGACAAGGGGCCAGACCTCGCACGGGCCAGGGAGGGCCTGGGGCTAAGGGGCCAGGCACCACAGAGAGGGCACAGACAGCAGGCTGGGCAGGATGCCTGCCACAGGCTGGACAGGGGCCACAGCCAGGGTCGGGAAGCGGCAGGGAGCCGTCCCTATGCTGGACTAGGTGGCAGGCTGGCCGGGGCCCACTCCTCCGGGTGGAGCTGGGCTGCCCCAAGCTGGCCCAGCTGGGGTGGACGGAGTTACAGGGATGGAGATGACCTGTCCTGGGTTCAAATGGGCCGGGCTGGGCTGTGCTGGGCTGTGCTGCTTGGACTGGGGACGTCCAGGCGGGGCAGGGCTGGGTAACTCTGGGTGAGCTGGGCTGAACTGGGCTGAACTGGGCTGAGCTTGTCTGAGCTGGTTGGAGCAGAACTGGGCTGAGCAGGGTTAAGCTGGGCTGAGCTGGGCTGAACTGGGCTGAGCTGAACACGGCTGAGCTGGGCTGAACTGGGCTGAGCTGGGCTGAACTGGGCTGAGATGGGCTGAGATGGGCTGAACTGGGCTGAGCTGAACATGGCTGAGCTGGGCTGAACTGGGCTGAGCTGAACACGGCTGAGCTGGGCTGAACTGGGCTGAGCTGGGCTGAACTGGGCTGAGCTGGGCTGAGATGGGCTGAGCTGGGCTGAGATGGGCTGAACAAGGCTGAGCAGGGCTGGGCAGAGCTGGGCTGAACTGGGCTATGCTGGGCTGAGCTTGGCTGAACTGGGCTGAGCTGAGCTGAATTGCGCTGAGCTGGGCTGAGATGGGCTGAGCTGAGCTGAGCTGAGCTGGGCTGAGATGGGCTGGGCTGAACTGGGCTATTCTAGGCTGGGCTGGGCTGAGCTGGGCTGAGCTGGGCTGAGTTGGGCTGAAATGGGCTGAGCTGGGCTGGGCTGAACTGGGCTATTCTGGGCTGGGCTGGGCTGAACTGGGCTGAGCTGGGCTGAGATGAGCTGAGCTGAACTGGGCTGAGCTGGGCTGAACTGGGCTGAACTGGGCTATTCTGGGCTGGGCTGGGCTGAACTGGGCTGAGCTTGTCTGAGCTGGTTTGAGCAGAACTGGGCTGAGCAGGGTTAAGTTAGCTGAACTGTGCTAAGCTGGGCTGGGCTATTCTGGGCTGGGCTGGGCTGAAGGAACCTGGTTTGATCGTGTGGACAGAGCCAAGATGACCAGGGTGCTTGGGACGGGTATCCTCACTGGCCTGAGCCAGGCTGGACAAGGTAGATGGTCCCAGGCTGAGCTGGCCCGGATTGGGCAGGGCCCTTTAGGCTGGGCTGGGCACAGAGCTGGGTCTCAGCTGGCCTCCTCTGTCCTGACGCAACATGGTCTGGACTGCGCTCAGCTGGTTTGGGCCGGCAGGGTGAGCAGGGCTGCGCTGGGAAGCAGGGCCGGGATAAGCTGGGGTCTGGCATTCTAAGACCAGGTGCAGTAAAGGCGAACATATGACCCTGTTTCCTGCTGTGGAGGGACTGCAGTGGGCTGACGGCGTCTCCGTCCTCGGTCCACGGGGCCTGTAGTTGGGAGCCCTGGGAGATCAACGGGGAGGATGGAGGACAGGGAGGCCTGGCTGGTCAAGCAAGGGGTGGGGGGAAGGGGCCCCTGTAGAGGGCTCAGGGCACTGAGCTGCTGAGCCTCAGCCACGGGAGCAGGGACCTGGCTGGGGACAGGTGTGCCTGCCCACAGCGAGCCTCACGCGGACTTCAGATGGTGGGGGGAACATACTAGTGATTCCGGGGCATGGGGCCTCTAGATCTGTGGGCCTTTATGAGGTCTGTGGTTGGGGTCAGAAGGCACAGCCTGACAGTTCCTGGGGGTCCCAGGATCCCTACTCCCCAGTAGGGTCAGTGGGAGTGGGGGGCAGCCTGGTGACCTGTGGGGGGGGGGTCCCAACCTCAGTGTGCAGGAGTTGAGCACTGAGCCTTAGCCTGGGGGATGGGCTGGCCCCTCTGCTCCCCACAGCCAGCTACTCAGGGCTGAGGGCTGGGAACCCTGGCCAAGGGCAGGGCCAGCAAGTTTTTCTGGCAGGGGTGCAGGGGGTCATCGGAGGGTGTCCCTAGTAGGACCAAGGAATGAGGAAGGGCCCAGAACAAGCCCTCTGTCCCCAAAGGTTAGAGTAGGGGTCCCCTCCCTAGACCACACCCCTCTGCCCCACAGTCCTCCCTCCAGGATCCCCCAGGGCCCCAGGTGGAGGATGCCCAGGTCAGTTGTTAGCCTGGCACTCAATGGGGCACTAGGCCCGAGGCCAGTGCTGACCCTGACCCCTCCCCACAGTCTCCAGCCAGAGCCCGTCTGTCTTCCCCCTGGTCTCCTGCTGCAAAGACGTCATCATGAATGCCAGCTCCTTGACACTGGGCTGCCTGGTCGCGGACTACTTCCCAGAGCCAGTGACAGTGACCTGGGACTCAGGGTCCCTGAAGAGGAGCACAGTGGCCTTCCCCAGTGCCCACAACCCAGCCTCGAGCCTCTACACCACCGTCAGCCAGATGACCGCCTCAGGAGAGTGGGCCAAGCAGACGTTCACCTGCAGCGTGGCTCATGCCGCCTCCACCACCAACAAGACCATCAGCGGTGAGCCCGGCTGGGCGGTGCCCCTCAGGCCAGAGAGCGGAAAGATAGGCTGGGTGGGTGGGGGAAGGGCTCAAGTGCCACCAGAGCTGGGCCCTTGGCTGGTGCATGGGGACCCCGGGCTCAGGGGCCAACCCCTTACCTGCCGCCTCATCCCCAGTGTGTGCCGCGGACTTCTCCCCGCCCACTGTGAAGCTCTTCCACTCGTCCTGCCAGCCCAACGGGGATGACAGGACGGTCATCCAGCTCCTCTGCCTCATCTCCGGCTACCACCCGGACGAGATGGAGGTCAGCTGGCTGGTGGACGGGCACAGGGAAGCAGACAGCTCCCAGCACGTCGGCCCCGTCAGGCAGGAGGGCAAGGCAAACTCCACCCACAGCGAGTTCAACATCACCCAGGCCGACTGGGTGTCCCAAAAAACCTACACCTGCCAGGTCTCCTATCGAGGCCTGACCTTTCAGGACCATGCCCGCAAATGCACAGGTATGGGCCCCCACCCACGCTGACTGCCAGTCAGCAAGGGCTCAGGGATGCGGGCCAGCTCTCGGCCTCACGCAGACCCTCCTGCACACGCAGAGTCCGACCCTCGAGGCGTGAGCACCTACCTGATCCCACCCAGCCCCCTCGACCTGTACGTCCACAAGTCACCCAAGATCACCTGCCTCGTGGTGGACCTGGCCAGCGTGGATGACATGACCCTGAAGTGGACCCGGGAGAGCAAGCTCCCCTTGCCACAGGACCAGCGGGTCTCCAAGCGTCACTTCAACGGGACGTACACCTTCATGTCCACCCTGCCGGTGGACGCCACAGACTGGATCGAGGGCGAAACCTACTACTGCACAGTGAACCACCCTGACCTGCCCATCGCCATTGTGCGCTCCATCTCCAAGGCCCCTGGTGAGCTGCAGGCCAGGGGCAGGTGGGTGGGCCTCCAGGGTAGGAGCCTGGCTGACCCCACGCCCATCTGCAGGCAAGCGTGCAGCCCCTGAGGTCCACGTGTTCCCGCCTCCCGAGGAAGGGCAGGGGCCCACGGACAAGCTCACCCTCACCTGCCTGGCTCAGAACTTCTTCCCTGCCGACATCTCGGTGCTCTGGCTGCGTAATGACGTCGCGGTCCGCACAGACCAGTACACCACCACGTGGCCCCGCAGGACCAGCGGCTCCGTCCCCACCTTCTTTGTCTTCAGCCGTCTAGAGGTCAGCCGGACGGACTGGACACTGAACAGCAAATTCTCCTGCCAAGTGGTCCATGAGGCACTGACCCAAACCAGGACCCTTGAGAAAACCGTGTCCAAAGCCCCCGGTAAATGATGCTGACCTCCCTCCCACGCCCCTCTCCCCGAGGGCTCCGTCCTGCTGGGCCTGGGAAGGGAGCAGGCCAGACCTCCCAACCACTACTGTCAATAAACGCTCCGCACCTGCTGGAGCCCAGGGCACGCCCATTCTTGGGGGTGGGCAGGGGTGTGTCTTGGCCCAGGAGAGGGGACAGGACGGGGTGTGGCTGCAACGCGGCTCCATCCACCACCCCCTCTGTCCAGGCCCTGCCTGCCACTCCACTCTGAGTCCTGCCCACCCAAAGGAGTCCTACGAGCCCAAGGGTGGTCCCAGGGAGACCCCAGTGATCCCCTGCTCCCTGCCCCCAGAGGCCCTGGAGGCCCCAGCCCCAGGCCAGCCCCTCCAGACACAGATGCCCCTCCAGCGGCACACACAGGCCCTTTGGGTAGAGAAGCGAGGCCAGTCAGAGCCCCACATGGGCACTGACACACGGGCCCAGGAAGCCCACCCCTGCCCACCCCCCACTGCTACCTCCCGGGCACAGGTAGGCCAACCTGCACCAGAACCAAGCCCTCTGGGCCCCGCCCTGCCCTCACACCCACACTCTGGTGAGCCTCAGAGTCAGGCCCACCCCAGTCACGCAGCCACCGGCCCCTCAAGGGTGGGCGTGGTCTACATGCAGCATGGCCCCACACCTCCCCTCTCACCCAGGCTGCATCCAGACCTTCCTCCCCATCACACCTCAGCCACTAGGACAAGACAGGCACAGAGAGGCTTCCCACCCCTCTGGGAGCCCAGCAGGCCTCACACAGCTTCCCCTGTGGCTCTAGCCCCCCGAGACAGCTCTCCCTGCCAGCAGCACCTTACAGAGGGACAGACGATCACACACGCACACACACACACACAGCCTCACACACAGGGTGTGGGCTCCGGCCCACTCTCCCAGTAAAGCACTCCCCAGAGCAGGCTGCTGACCCTTTGCCAGGGCTGGGGGCTGCGCGGGTCACAGCCAGGGGCCAGACCCCACCTTCCACCTTGCACACATGCACACATGTGCACACACACTCCCTAGCACACAAGCAACCACTGCATTCGCTTGGAAAACAGCTGACGCCAAGCACACTCTAAAAGCCCAGCAGCACCAGGCTGGCACACTCCGCATCGGAGCCACGGTGCCATGCACACAAGCACAAGGTCACTCACAGGGGAGGCCCGCTGTGCTAGGGACAGTCAGGGCCCAGCCCCAGGGCAGGAGGAGCCAGGAGGCAGGGGTCAGCAGTGGGCCATGTGGGTCAGCCCCTCAGGGCACCCACTGCAATGACCCAAGGGCTGTCCCAGGTCCTGTGAGCTGGACTCTAGCTACCGAGAACTCCTCGTGCAGTTCTCCAGGAAGGGTGGCCATCTGTGTGCAATTTGGAGGGGTCCCCAGGCTGGCAAATGGAGCTGGGGAGGCCAGGCTAGGTAGCCACAGGCTCTGCAGTTTACAGGAGAGCTACTGGGCAGCAGACAGAAGGGAGCAGGGCACCAGGCTGCTCCTACACAGCCTGCAGCCAACTCAGGGCACATGGGCCCCCATCCTGGGCTGGCTGGGGACTCTGGGAAGTCACAGAGCAGGGCAGACAGGGTGGGTCTGCCCAAGACCAGGGCATCAGGACCCGGGGAGCAGGGCCCCTGTTCACTCCCCTTCCTCAGGGTGGCCAGGCCTGCCACCCTGCACGCTGAGACTGGGGAGGGCTGACTGGCCGGTGCCCACAGAGCTGGACCTGCAAGATCTGTGTATGGCAGAGCCACAGGGCGAGGAGCTGGACGGGCTGTGGACCAGCCTCTCCACCTTCATCATCCTCTTCCTGCTCAGCGTGAGCTACAGCGCCACCGTCACCCTCCTCAAGGTGGGGACACGTGGCCCCTCTTCCTGGGCCAGCAGGGCGGGTGTGAGGGAGGTCCAGAGGGAGGGAGCCCAGGCAGAGCTGTCTTCTCACCGCCCCCGTCCCCACCCCCAGGTGAAGTGGGTGTTCGCCACTGTCCTGCAGGAGAAGCCCCGCGCCTGCCAGGACCACACGCATGTCAGGCAGCGGGCAGCCTAGGTCCGGAGTCCCAGCAACACAGGCCTGGCTCTCTCCTTCCCGGCTCTGCCCCGAGAGGGAGGGGGAAGCGGGCCAACCCCCAAAGGGGCCACAGCCAGGGACCCAACAACCTGCGCACAGGCATCCAGAGGGCTCCGGCTCAGCCCCAAGTCCCGAGGTGCCTGTGAGGCCTGCCGGTCACAGCCCCCACCCCCACCCCACTTTGGGACAAGCCCCAGAAAGGCATGTCCCCTCCACAGAGTGACCTGAACTTGGCACGAGTGCCGGCCAGGGCCACTCCCACAGCCACCTAACCCCTGAGTGATGAGGGCCTGCGGCCTGAGGCCCTGCCGGCTGCTCAGAGTCTGGGTACAGGGCGGGCCTCGTTCCCCGGGCTCGGTGTCCCTCCCCACCACCCCCACGCCCAGGACCACCTGCCCACCGTCATGCTGACTGCCCTCAGCCCCACAGCAGAAGCCCTTCTGGGGAGAAGCCACAGGACCAGTTGGGGCTGCGGGCAGAGGCCAGGCTAGGGGTCCCGCAGCAGAAGGAGCTTCTGCGAGGCCCACACAGTGCCATCCGCTGTGCCTGCCCCCCCTGCTGCCCCTGGGTGCCGATTCTGTTTCCTTCCATTTGGGTTTCTTAGTAAAGTTCCTTCTTACAGACCCCATGCCATCTGAGTGTGCTTTGGGGGAGAAGCCTTTGGTCCATGGGGGGTGGGAGGCAGGCCCTCCTGAAGACATGCACCAGGGGCCAAAGGGTGGGGCCCAGGTGGCCAGCTGCTGCTCCCTGCAAGGGTCCCCCACACCCCCAGAGACACCCAGTGCAGTCTTCACCACACCTGCCTGACTGGCCTCCAGCCCAGACACACCATCACTTCTCACACCAAAGTGAAAGCAGTGATTCCAGCCTCCTCAGGAAACACCGAGGCAGGAACCCCAAAGGCGCTGCTCTGCTGGCGCAGGAGGCCACGGGAACACAGTCACCAAAGTGGGGCCGGCATCAGCCTCCTGGGACCACCTGTCACCTGCCCCAACTGTCCACCCACTGAGCACACCCACGTGGGCCGGTCCTTGGCCCCGTCCTGCCAGCCCAGATGTCCTGGGGAGCTGAGGGAGGCTCACCAGCAAGCGTGTTGTCTGGAGCTGACCTGATGAGCCTGGAGATGGGAGCCACAGCAGTGGTGAGATGACCAGCCAGCTGAGGACAGCTGTGGGCGCGAGGCTGTGGCCCCTCCTCGGGACACCGAGGCGGTCTCACTGGTCGGAGCGGCCTGCCCGCGAGGGTCTTCATGAAGTACACTGGAAATGAGGGGAGAATCCGTGAACACACATGACAAAGGGCAAGATTCCCTCATGTACAAAGAGGGCTCAGAGACCAACAGCAAGCCAGAAAAGTGAGCCGTGGGCCCTACGTGGAAAGGGACACTGAATGGTTGGTAATACGAGAAAAGGTTTCCATGATTAGAAAAGCTACAATAAGGACACTAGGGCCGTGTGCCCAGCAGTCCCACGGATCTGTCTCTTGCTTCAACAATGTTTGGATGAACAGACCCAGGGATGCCCTCTTTACCAGTCTCCGACCACACTCCAACCTCTCTTCCAGTCGCCACCTTCGGAACCATCTTCTTAGTCAGTCTCCGCCACGAGAACCAGCCAAGCCATGTTTGGAGTTCAGCCCCTTATTGCCTGTCAGCCATGAGCTCCCAGGTTCAGCAAGACTATCCTTCTGAAGTGGAGGTGCCGCCAACCACCTGGTCAGCCTGTCCTCGCATCTCCCACATGGCCCTCTCTCTGGGCTTCTTTTCTGCCAGAGGCCAGGGAGCCCTGGAGGGTGTGGGCCCCCCTTCCACATGCCGGCCAGAAGCGTGCCGCTGGGGGGCGTCTCCTGGAGATGCAGAACCCGTGCGGCAGCTGCGCCCTCTTCCAGAACAGTGCAGGAGCCATCCCAGGATGAGCAGGCTGAAACCCTGGATGCCACAGTGGCCGCCACGGTCCTGGGGGAGAACCTGCCCAGGCCCTTCCGGACCTGCGTGCTCTGGGCTGTGCACACCCAGACACCCATCCCCGTGGTTTCCCGGAGAGCCACTTCCCAGGCAAGGAGATGGAACCCAGCAAGAAGATGACTCCCTCATGAGCAGGCCTCCAGGGCTGGGCTGGCCAGGTATCACCCTCCAGTACAACTAGGAGCCGGTGGGGCCCCGCGGGCCTCCCCCTGGGCTTGGGGCTTCTGCTCTCCCTGCAGCCAACCGGTGGCTTGTGCTTGCTAACCACCCTCAAGTCCTTTCCCAAGCCATGGACCAAATGGAAACAATGAAGCTTTTTGCAGCAAGAAAAATAAAATAAAATAAGGACACCGGGGATGCAGTGGCCCTCACGGGCTTGTCTGAGGGTGTGCACATGCGAAGACCATTTCCCAGGGCCCGTTGTTCCCAACACACATGCCCAGACCCTCTTGGCCAGAGATCCCTCCAGAGAGGGCCTCCCTCCATGCCGAGAGATGGCATCACACAGACTCCAACACAGACCGCAGAGGGGACCATGGCACCAGCCTCCCGTCGGGGCAGGAAGCCAAGACTTGGTGATGCTGGGCTCATCTGGAGACCCTGAGGCTCTGGCCTAAACAGAGCACCCGAGGAGCGGGGGCTTTCCAAGACAAGGCCAAGGCTGCAGCCCCTGACTGCTCTGCATTCACACACAGACACACAGCTCACACTTGCACAGATGCACACCGAGGCTCCATCCTCACCTCTCCTGGATGGGGAGTCCCCCAAAGGCAGAACTGAGTGACTTCTTTCTCTGAGTTCACCACAGACCATGAGGCATCTCACCCTGGGGACCCCAGATTGACAAAGGTTGGTGCACACACAGAGGCCAAGTGCATCTTCCCCAAGCCTGGGAGGAAGGCGTGATGGTCACCCCATCTAGAGGGGCCAGCAGAGGCCCAGCACTGTGGGGGAGCAGTGCCATGGGGATGGAATGGAAGATGGGGGTCACACCAGGGTCCAGAACCCCCCAGGGGAATGCCAGCAACCCCACCTTCACACACCCTCCCAGCAGCAAGAGGCCACCTTCTTGGGGTCCCCTCTGTCCCTCCTTCTCTCATTAACCCACCAGACTGGGCTAAACAGCGATCCCTAAAAGCTGTGTCCGTGCCCCAAGCCCTGGAACCCAGGAATGAGGCCTTATTTGGAAAAATTACCTCTGCGTATGGGATTGGGTTAAGGGTCCGAGATGAGACTGTCCAGGTGGCTGAAATTCCAGTGATATGTGTCCTCCCAAGAGACAGGAGAGGCAGAAACGGAGTAGAAGCTACACGAAGACAGGGCGGAGAGGGGCTGTCCCGGAGCCCCGGCCACAGGAGGGAGGGACTCAGCAACAAGCCAGCGGCACCTGGGTCCCCAGGAGGCAGAAGGCTGGGATGGCCGCGCCCCAGAGCCTGCAAGGGGCGTGTGGCCCTGCTGCACCTGCATCTCAGCTCTGGCCCCCAGAGCCACGAGAACGGACTTCTGATTTTTAAGCCCCCCAGCTGTGCTCCACCATCATGGCATCCTGAGGACCCTCCTGAACTTGTGCCCCACTTCATCTCTGGCCTTCTCCCCAAGTTTCAGGTTCTTCCACCCAATGCTGCGGCCGTCAGGTAGAGCGGGATCCTGAGCCTGCACCCCAGCTCCAAAAGGACCCCTCCTCTTCAAGCATGTCTGCACGGGAGTGCCTGGCTGAGGGGACAGGCAAGCTGCAACAGGGGGCAGGCACCCCACTGCCCTGCCACCCACTCTGTTCCCTCTATGCCAGGGCTGCTCAGGCCCCAAGGCCCCGTCCCATGTCCCACATCTCATTCCTCCTGCCACCTCAGGTGAGGGCTGCTGAAGGGGACTCCAGGGCTTCTGACTACGCCAGGGATGCAGGGCCCACAGGCAGAGCCACAGCGGCAGTCACCCACAATGCAGAGGGTGCTGTACTCACAAGCGTGTGTGGGCATGGCAGGTGGCCCTGGGAGAGAATGCCCCTCAGGTGTGATGCTGTAGGGACTCCGGGGCTCATAATAAAACCGAGATTCCTTAAGCCAAGCCGTGGCATATGTGCCCACTGGAGGGTCCCACCAGGGCATGCCCTCCATCCATCCCTTCCTCCCCCACCCCCAGCCTCACCTTCCATTCCTCGCCAGGAAGAGCCAGCCCGCCCCAGGGCCCAGCATCCCTGGGTGTCCCCAGCAAGCATGCAGCTTCTCTCCTGGGAAGTCCCTCCTGCGAAGAACCGTTAGTTCCCGTGGTGGTTCCAGAACCTTCTGTGTGTGAAGTAACAAATGAGCTACTGGATGTGGACCCCCCAGCTGCCCCTTGTGTGAGGGGCCCCAGAGAGGGTTGGGCCAGACGCCCAGGAGCGGGTAAAGTGGATGCAGCTCAGGCTGCCACAGGCAGGTCGGGAGTTGGCCAGATGCAGGTAGAGGCGAGACCTCAGCTGCCCAGATCCCCAAGGCCCAGGGCATCCAGACAGGGCAGCCCCCAAGCCCCTCACCTGGCTTCAGCCCAGGCCCAGCTGCTCGTGGGGCTTGCCACAAAAGGGCAGCCATTGGTCATGGCGAGACTGGAGTGGCTCCTCACCCTCATGCCCTGACCTGCAGCACAGACACCACCCGAGGCCGGCCCGAGGGGCTTGGTCTGGGTGAGCCTTGCCCCTTGGTGCCCAGCCTCTGTGGCCCCACTCTGTCCCCACCTCCAGTGCCACCTCTGCCTCAGTGTCCCAGAGCCCCCAACCATGTCTCCCTCAGCCCCTGCATCCCTGCATGTCTGCTCCCCCACCAGCCCTGTGGGTGGCCACGTGGAGCCACGACCCCACCTGGGCGACCGCCCTTGCACCCACATGGCCTCAGGCCAGGGCCAGACTCCCGAGGGTCATACAGAGCAGGCCACACACACCTGGCCCCACCACAGCCAGACCACAGACCAGACATGACGTGCAGGCAAGCGGCCGCCTCTGGCGGGACAGGAAGTGGGCGACTGACCCTATCTATGGGCCAGACACAGCCATGCAGCCCCCCGAGCCTGCCCTCAAAGCCTCAGCCAGCCCTACCACAAGCAAAGGCCCAGAGCAGGACGGGGCTGCTGAGACCTCACGACCATCAGTCCAGGCCTGAACAAGACCCAGGCTTCCTTTCCTCTCCAGCCCCTCTGGGGTGACAGGCAGATGGACAATGGACATGTGCTGCAGGGCCAGGGGGCTGCAGGGAACCAGGCCTCTCAACCATGGTGGACCCTCCAGCAGCCTTGAGCAGGTGGGTCCCAGATGTCATTCAGACCTCAGGTCCTCAGTCAGGCCTTACTAAGCTCTTCCGGGAGGATGGACACAGGTACCAAGACAGAGGACAGGGAGGGAGACAGACTGCCATGGAGACCCCAGACCTTCCGCAGGACACTTTACCAGGGCAGGGGCAAGCTGGCTATTCAGCCTGGCTGAGCTGAACTGGGCTGGGCTGGGCTGAACTGGGTTGAGCTGGGCTGAGCTGGGCTGAGCTGGGCTGAGCTGGGCTGAACTGGGCTGAGCTGAGCTGGGCTGAACTGGGCTGTGCTGAATTGGGCTGAGCTGAGCTGGGCTGAACTGGGCTGAGCTGAGCTGGGCTGA